CTTATACTGACATATGTCATACAACCTATAGGCTGAAATAACTTTGAATTTAACAATAAAAATAAATAAAAGCCTTATTCAGCCAAATACCGCTAGCTTAATCAAAACTAGTTGATTTTTATTTTGTATTAACAAGTTGTCATCCATATGATAACATGTCATGTGAGCATCTTACGTACCCATTTAAATTTCTTCTCCTTAAAAGGAAAACAATCTCTAGTGAATAAGCCTTTTTAAATCTATAATTTTAGAAAATTAAGCTAGCAGCATCAACCAATATCTTTGCACCATCAACAGCTATAGTACCTACAAAGTACTCAATAGGTGAATGAGTTATTTCTTATACTAGCAGTTTAATAGGTTAGTACTTAAGCCAACATTCTAGTCTATAAAGAATTAATCTAAATTACCAACAAAGTATATTCCTCTGTTCGCCTTCACAGTACAGCAGGATTCAAATCCACCAATCATACTTCTTTTATATGTTTTTGGAATATTTTAAACCAGCCCTAGAATGTTTTAACTTCCAAAGCATACACACATAACACATATTTCCTGACAGCCTTCTTCCCAGCCTTTATTGTCTAGAAATACAGGGGGCAGGGGGGAGAAACTAATGAAACCAGTGCTTATCCTAAACGACTCAATGTCGTGCACTATTAATCACTCTAGGCCAAGTGGACATATTCTGAAAGTTTATCACCCCTTTTACCATAATCTTGAGAAATAAGGTGTTTCAAAAGTAAAACATCCAACAAGTTAAAACCACATTCAATAAAGAAAGGGAAATGCCTGGCAAGCAGTATGAAATATTAGCTGCTCAAAACACACTAACTCTGCTACTAAAAACATTCACTGGTCAAACTGTCTATCAAAATCTAATTAGACCTGTTTTTTAGATCCCCAAATCCAAAATATTTAGGAGTTACGGCACCCACTGAAGAATTCTCAAAACTTCCTCTATTACAAGTTCTCACCTACTAACAGTCATTTATCCAACCAGTCCTTGATGAGCATGAACAACTAGCAGGAATAGTATACACAAGGTAGACTAAGTGTCATGAGAAAAACAAAATGTCATGTAAGGACATAAATATACAAGTTGTTGTTTATTTTTAAAAAAAGGAAAGCCAGCCACAAACTGTAATTTAACTCAGCACATACACAGCTATCAGTCCTAAATATTATTTGTTAGGCCTTCAAAGAGAAGTTAATGTTAGCTGAACTGCCCTCCTAAAACTCCCTGGCGTAGTGTAATTCAGTCTCCATGGGTCTTTCGGTTCTGGGCTCTTGGTAGAGAGGACCACATGTGATTTCTATCTTTTTGTTTTTTTAACATTGATTTTAGAGAAGAAGGAGAGACAGAGAAACATTGATGGGTTGCCTTCCATATGCTCCATGACTGGAGATTGAATTCGCAACCTAGGTATATGCCCTGAGTGAGAATCAAACCCTCAAACTTTTTGGTGTACGGGACAATGCTCCTACCAATTGAGCCACACTGGCCAGAGCCACATGTGATTCCTTCCTTCCTTTTATTTTCTTTAGATTTTATGTATTTAATTTTAGAGAGAGGGGAAGGAAGAGAGAAAAAGACGTTGGTTGCCTCCTATAAGCACCCGGATGGGATACAACCCCCACCTAGGTTATTTGCCCTGGCAGGACATTGAACCCACAAACCTTTGGTGTATAGGATGATGCTCCAACCAACTGAGCCATCTGGCCAGGGTGGCTTTTATTTTGGATTTTACTAAAATAACTTTGAATGGGATGGATTACCACGTTTGCTTTGGTTTTGTTTGGTTTTCTTCGTTGCTTTTTAATCAGCCCTGCACCAACAACTGTAGGAGGAGCCCATTAGCGCCCAAGAATAAAAACAAACACAGGACCAGAGAAGGCTCCCCCACTAACCCAAACTGATTCATTTCCGCAACACGACTCTAAAGCCACAGGGCTCAGGGTGCAAAGAGAAACCTGGTTTGTATGTGTGCCTGTGTGCCATGTGGAAGAAAAGGGGCCTCATGCGAAAGCTGACACCCTCAGGGGAGGCCTGCATGGCAGCATTACAAAATCAGAGACCTACAGTAACCACAGGGGATGGTCGGAAATTAAAACTTTCTAACAAAAACCATTTCAGGGCGAGTAGTCATGTCCTAGGCTGGTATTTTTCCCTACAAAGGTCGATCTTCATCTTCACTGAGCCTCTCTGTTGTCTTTTTGCATCTAGGATAACATGCCTTTGGAACATCAAATTTCCTTTTTTCCAGATCCCTCAAAGCACAGGCACCCGCACCTTGGGAGACCACAAATCCTGTTATTGTTATGCTAATTGTTGACTCTTTACCTTATACCCACTTATGTAAAAGATGTCTATCCTTTTACTTTTTCTCCAATCCCAGAGGTTTCACAGCTTTGCTCCCTCCCACCTTCCTAATCTATCACCAATGGATTTCATGTAACCCACTTACACTTCCTCTTTTGATTGTGATATATAAAATAAAGTGTAAAACCGCCATTGTTCAGAGCATTTTCTCAGCTGGTTGAGGTTTTGCTTCCTGGCAATTGTAGTCAGTTTAGCTCAAATAAACATAAAAATTCTCTACAGGTTTGAATGTTTCTTACGTTGACAGCCCCAACCTAAATCTTTAATTCCCTTTTAAGGGGTCCTAGTGCTAGGAGGGGGAGTGGCTACTGCTGCCCCCGCTGCAGGAGCTCAGCCGTCTGCTGGGCACCCCCCCTAGCCTGGGCAGCCGCTCACCTGCCTTGCTGCTGCCCCCGTGCCAGAGCAGAGCGCCTCCCCCACCCCTTCGTGGGCCCTGTCGTGGGCGGTGGCGGCGGGGCCTGGGCAGGGAGGGCCCAGGGCTGCCAGGCACCTCCCCCTTCCGGAGAGGAGGAGGGGAGGTCGGTGGTGGGCGTGGGGGCGGCTGGGGAGGCCCGAGGGGCCCTGCCTGCAGAGGCAGGTGGAGGGAGAGGGCCCATCTGCATCAAGAGGGCTCCACTTCTGATTGCCTTCAGCCACCATCTCTGTTTTTTTTCCCTCTCCCTCAGAGACTCGGGGAACTGACAGCTGCTTCTCCAACGTGGTCACGTGAGCCTCACCGCCCACGTGCCAGGGATGGAGCGAGGCGGCTGGGCGGCCGCTAGGGGGAGCCGGGCCTCCTTCCCGCGTCTCCTACTCCAGGTCCCACCTCTGGGGGAACTGATGCCGAAAGAGTCAAAGGGTATTGTGGAAGGGGCTGGACCACTTTTTCTTTGGAGGAAGAAAAGGGAAAGGTTTTTAATCATACAGATTACCACATCTTTCAGAGGGGCCCATGTGACAGATGACTTTACTGGTGCTTGACCAGAACATTACATACTGGATGATTAAGTTATTGGTAGAGGCTGAAACTGCAGTTTGATGAAGCATTAAATCTAGGTTTGTTGTGATGGACTTTGAACATGAATGATGCCATTTTGGGCCTATGTCGTTTTTTCATTTTTTTTTTTAAATATTTTACTTATTTTTAGAGAGAGAGGGAAAGGAGGGAGAGAAATATTGATCAGCTGCCTCTTGTAAGCCCCCACTGGGGACCTGGCCTGTAACCCAGGCATGTGCCCTGATCTGGAATCGAACCAGCAACCTTTCAGTCCGCAGACCAACGCTCAATCCACTGAACCACACCTGTTAGGATGGGCCCCTGCTGTTAACACTCCCTGTCTACTACATCTAGTTCAGATTAAACTATAGTAATCTAAATGATATCTCCCTACAGATCTTCTGTAGGTTCTTGATTGTTTTCGGATCCAAATAATCTGCATGCCAGAGTAGCACATCTTGGGATAACTTGTTCTGAACCCCTACAGTTGTATTTACAATTTTTTTAATACTTAATTTTTTTCCTTCTACAAAGGCTTTACCATTTCTTTGGGTATTTTGGTGTTAGATCAAGAAATAGACTACTACTGATGATAAACTGATGCCAAGATCTTTTTCAGCTATTTTTAAAAATCTAATGAATGCCCCTGTTTTCAAGAATCTTCTAACTTTTATTCACTCCTCTTACAGGAAGCTAGAATTTTGGTGAACCAAGATCGTTAATAGAGTGTAAGAGTTGGAGGTTTTTATTTAGTAAAAAAATTCCTCATGTTACATATAAACAGAAGAGAGTAATTTGCTTTAGGCCAGAGACAAGAACCACAATATTTTAAATAATCATTCTGCATTCTACTTCTCTGGGAGATGTGCTCTTGCCAAATATTTTCTTTGGGCTCCGGGTTAATTCTTTTGCATTTAAACTATGGCTCTTAGAGTAGTTTGGAATGTGTCGGGTGAAAGGGGAACAGATTGGGCCTTCTGGAATTCAGTTTCTGGTGTTCGTAGCACTTTTAAGTGATAACCTATAACCTTTTCAACGTTCCTTCATTTTACATGGACTTGTAAGTCAACAAATATTTCTTGACTGCCTATCGTGTACCAAGCATGGGCATTGCATTTTCACAATGAAATGAGAGAGAGGCCCATCTCTCAAATATTTGGCTGATAAATTGGTGGTACCTCTTATGGTTATGTGTTACAATAGGGAAAGTTCTCTCTTGGCTAGACAAATGGCTGGGTTTATTATTTATTTTAGCAAGCTTTAACTCTCCCATAGGTAACAGTTCTTTGCATTTCCCAGAATACTCTGGCATCTTTTCTTTTTGATGTGGATTTTCTAATTATGTCAGGCCTTCCTGAAGGCTGTCCTCGAACAGTCTTTCCTGCCCGAGTGGTGGCGAAGGCACTGGCAGGTTTCCAAGCATTCGCCTCAGACTAGGGATTCTTCGAAGCGCCGCAGATCTGACCACAAAGCTAGGTGACAAGGGTTCATTACGGATCCTCCTCTACAGTCTCCTATCCAGCCGCCGAAGCGCGCCTGCGTGCGGGAGCCCCTTTGTTGCTCTGCCGCTAGGGTCTTGCTGCGCCTGCGTGGTGGGCCGGCGCGGACAAGTGCGCCGCGCTGCTGGCACCGGCTGGGGGCGAGCTGACTTGGAGCAGCCGGCGCCGTCGTTGCGACCGCCACAGCGGAGTTCAGAGGCCCCAGCGGGGGGAGACTTCCCACACTGTGACCGAGATGTCGTCCACTGCGGCTTTTTACCTTCTCTCCACCCTGGGAGGGTACTTGGTGACCTCATTCTTGTTGCTCAAATACCCGACCTTGCTGCACCAGAGAAAGAAGCAGCGATTCCTCTGTAAACACATCTCTCACCGCGGAGGTGAGAGGGGGTCTTCAGAACCCGGTGGCGGAGATACGGGGGGCTTTTTCCCCGTCTTTGAAGCTCCGCAGAAGGCTGGCGGGTGGAAATAACGTGGAAATTTGAGGAAGGATGGGGATGTATCACTAGGGGGCTCCTCCGGAGGTGAAGGCGATGTGAAGGGGAGGTCTCCTGTGGGGAGGAAAGGGGTCTTGAGACAAAGCCAAGGTGAGGATCTCTTGAGTGCAGCGGTGTCGGGGATTCTGAGGAGGAGGAAGGACCAGGGTGAGAATGAAGGGTAGACGGACAGTTTCTCCTCGGAAGGAAGAATGATCGCGCCGCCAGGCACAAGGTGGGGAGCGCCGGGAGCGCCGGGAGAGCCGGGGGCGGGGGGGGCGTATCCGGCCGGGGAAAGCCGCGAACCGACTGCCCCCAGGGAGCCGGTGATTGAGCTTGTGGGGAGATCCTGGGCCACCATTTTTCGGGACTGAGGAGCTGCACGAACCTGGAGCGTGCTGCAGCCCAGGTGTCTGCGGTCCCTGGTGGCCAGTCTCACCCCCCTCGCACCCCCGACCCTAAGCAAGATAATCAATGAGAGGAAAACCGAGTCCCTGAGATGGGTACACTTCCCAAGGATGCAGTTAGAGCTTGGGCCAGACTGGGTCAGAAACTGGAACGTCCAGGTTCCCTTGTCTGCAATCGTTGGACTTGTTTTATTTTTAAAGCCCCACCCTTGCACCCTAGCAATGACACGTGGATTTACAAAAGAAAAAAAAGATGACTGAGTTTGTGAGAAGACAGTATTGTGTAAAGAAAGCAGTTTCTTTTGGAAAGATGTCTTGCCAGAAGGAGACTAGATAGTCCACCCTCTAATTTCTCAAATATTAGGCCAAATCTTTATCTCTTCAGTATTGAATAGTGTCTATTTCATTTCAAGCATGATGTATATAAAATATGAAAATTTTATGGATTATTTCAATCAATGTTAACTTTTCTTTAGAGATGAATGTTAAGCTGAGTTAAAATTGCTTGGAATTTGCAGCCTAATATTGAACTTGAAATGGTAAATTTCTAAATTTACAGTCTAAAATTTGGTTTAGTATCATGACGCCTTTTTTTAAAGGTTTTATTTATTTATTTTTAGAGAGCAGGGAAGGGAGGGAGAAAGAAGGAGAGAAACATCGATGTGTGAGACACGGCAGTCGATTGCCTCTACATGCCCCCAACTGGGGACCTGGCCTGCAACCCAGGCGCGGCCCTGACTGGGAATCAAACTGGCAAACTTTTGGTTGGCAAGCTGGCTCTTGGTCCACTGGGCCACACCAGCCAGGGCCCATAAGTCCTTTTCAAATGTTACAGAAATATATTGTCATTCTTCTATATAATTTTATCAGTTACACATAGTTCTAAAGAATGACTTCAGTGGTTATGTAGCCTCCCACTCATGAAAAGCATCAAAGGTTTCACGAGGTCACCTGCTAAATGCCATGTTATTTCTCATTTGGTTTATCTATATTTTAATAGACACAGTTAAACTATAAGATGTTCATAGGACTACTAATGTGCCTTCATCCATTAAAGCCCCAAACCAGCTTTTAGTGTTTAAGTTGTTGCTGTAGAAGCAATTTTCAATGGTGATAGTCCTGTTCTGGATATAGGCAGTACACAATGCAGTTGTGTTTAATGATTTTAAAAAAGAAAAGTGCTTACTAAAAACCCAAACCAAAACAAAACTAGATCCTCTAAAAAGCTATCTAAACTGCCATTATGGACGATCTAAATTTTATTTTAGAAGAGATAATCTTGTTAAATATCTGCAGACTCAAAATCTGTTTTACTCTACTTACATGATGTGCTAAACCACTGTAGTAAGTTTCAAAGTGTTAGTGCTTAATACGCTTTTGTGGAATACATACATCAAATAATACAGTTGAATCCCAAGTGATAGAGGAGATATTTATTAAAAATAAAAAAGAGTTTGTAACTCAAGAAACTAAGTTTCTGGAAAATAATAGACTAGAAAGGAGTCACCGCCGTGCTTGCTTTTTATTTTTTTTCCTTGGACACTGGTAACAGCAATCACTAGTCTCTCTGTGCATATCACTAAGATTTGGGCTACTACTCCCATCTCCCTAACTACAAATAACTGATATTTTGTGTAAACCAGATATATGACTATTCTGAGGTTGAAACATTGATTGCTGTATGTGTTTAAAGTACATACACCTGAATTGCTATAATGTGTACTGTTCTATTTATGTCTGCTAAAAAAGCATTAGCACCTGAGTCAGATACTGGACCTACCATTAGTTACCCTTGGGAATAAGCCTGAGTTTTCCTTATCTATAAATGGAGAGCATTTGCCTTGCTTCTCTTTGGGTTATTAGGAGGATTAGATGTATTGAAAGCACTTTGAAAATTGTAAAATTGAAAATACAAGCATGGATACAGGGCATCCACATTTTCATTTTGCAATGGAATTTTGAGTTGATTGAGAAACTTGAGATCACCCTGTACCTATGTTTTCAAAGTTTTAGTAAATACTTTTGCCTTTTTAAACACTGATTGTTCTTGAAAGTGGAAAATACTTATATTGTATTAGGATCTATTAATACATCTACTTGCGTTAATAGACTGTGAATTCCTCAAGGCTAGGTTTTAGATTTTATTAATTCTTTTGTCTCTAACCTCTAGTACAGGTACTAACATATAACTAAAGTAATAGCTTATTGTCTGCTATTTATCTCCTGCATGCTAGATATTTTCAATGTGTTTCTTAAATTTATTTGACCAAGAATACATTTTATAACTATAATGGATTGATGAAATACCAATAAGACCAAAGATACACCCTTTGGATTAAATGGGGAGTAAGCAATACTCTCAAAGGCCATTTTTTAAATTATTCTATGAAATTATGAATTTTATTAATATTTTCCACAATTGCATAAGTAACCCATGTTCATTCTAGAGATTTGGAAAATATAGAAATGGGAAAAGAAAAACTAGTTCCTAAACTTTATCAGACATAATCTCTGGTAACATTGTGAAGTATAGCCTTTAGGTGCATATTGTCCTGCATTTGGAATTATATATACATTTATTTCAGATAGAGATAGGATAGCAAAGAAATAACTTACTTTAATACTCCCTAACCTGTCTCTTTAGGCCAATTGAACTAAGCAACAGGCTTTTTATTTTTAAAAAGATTTTATTTATTTATTTTTAGAGAGAGAGGAAGGGAGGAGGTGAGGGAGAGAAACAGCAATTAGTTGACTCTCGAACGTGCCCCAACCACTGAGACCAAACCTGAAACCCAGGCATGTGTCCTGACCAAGACTCAAACTGGAGACCCTTTGCTTTGCCAGATGACCTCCAGCCAACTGAGCCACAGTGGTCAGGGCTAAGCAACAAGCTTTTTAAAAAGAGGTCTAATTTTTTAGGGTTTAGTGGTCAAAGGAATTGAAAAAAATCACTGGCTGATCAAATCTCATTTTCTCTCCTAATCTTTCCTTTCACCCTTGGAATCAAGGCAGAGTACTGCCACAGTCTGGGCATCCTGCCACAGATTGATTTGGGAGGTGATAAGTTTTTTCTTTTTTTAATCCTTACCCTCAGATATGTTTGTTGATTTTAGAGAAGAAGGAAGGGAGAGAGATAGAAACGTGGATAGGTTGCCTCCTGTACACATCTGACCAGGAATTGAACCCACAACCTAGGTATGTGCCCTGACTTGGAATCAAACCCACAACTTTTTGGTGTATGAGACTATGCTCCAACCATATAAGCCCCACCAGTCAGGGTGGCAGATGATAAGTTTGAGAATAAAAATTGCCCTTGGATACTGGCTGCCTCTTGGTCCTAAACTTTACTTGGTTGTTCAAAGAGAAAATTGATGCATCAGTTTGAGTCTCTAAGTGTCACTGAAAGGAGCATTCTGCAGGTGCAACCCGAAACTTGTTCTGTGTCAAGATATTGATTCTTTCTCTTCAGCTCTTGTTCCCTCATTCCTATTTTCAGGGAACTCTTCCTCACTTGTCACTGAGAACTTTTCCAACTGGCTTGCTCATTCCTACTGATAACTTAGCAATGTAGTCATTTATCGTATATTTAATAGTGCTTTCCTACTTAATAAAACAAACTCAAATGTAAATGTACTTATTTTCAGCAATGGATATATATATATGGATGTATATACATATACACATATATCTCTTAAACTATACAAATTTAGAAAAAATTAAATCTCATATTAGAAAAAGTATTGAAATTATGACAAGATACATATCAAAAATCATTTATCATTGAAGAGAGCATGCATGTGGTGGTTAATTGGTAAATGCTGCTTGTGTATTAATATGCAGTTTGAATATCATGTGCTTCCATGTTATTGATGTTTAATCTTTTTCTTATATATGCAAATTTCACAAGTTTTTTCCGCCTTGAAAGATGAGACCTGTACTGAGAAATGCTCTTTTGTATATACTAACTCTAGTCCTTACAAACTCTTTATGCCGTTATATAAATTATATATACTGTTTCCAAGGCACACTGTAAATGTTGAATGAACAAATGAATTTCGAAATGAAAAAGGGACTTACTTTGTTGTTTGATTTACTAAATAACTTCATTTGGTGTTGAGATAGGATCATATATTCAAACATTAAGATATGTTTTATTCGCACTAAACTGTCTTTGCCAGTATCAAAAATTATTTAACTTTGAAGGTTGTTCTTATGCAGCTGATGCACATTCGTCATAGGTTTATAAACATGACACATACATACACATGCACATATCATGTACACAAAGATGTAAATGATAGTGGTGGTTGGAGCATAACTAAAACAAGTCTACAATGTTTACTGAATGTTTATTAGTATATAAAACATTTGGGGGCCAAAAGGAAACCAAACAGATGTTTCTTGCCTTTGAATCTAATTAAAGATACAAAAGAGAATGTTCCCTTTATTTTTCCTAGCCTATAAGAATTTAACCAATGACAAAGTAATTATGAAGCA